TAATGCAACCACATTAATAGAATGAAGGGAGGGGGAACCACATGATCATCTCAATTGATGCAAAAAGAACGTATTAAAAAACCTTTTCATGGTAAGAACTCAATAAACTAGGAATAGAAGAGAACATCCATGAATCAAAATATTTAATATTGTTAAGATGACAATATTACCTAGAGCAATCTACAGATTCAGTGCAATCCCTATCAAAATCCCAATAGCATTTTTTTGCAGAAATAGAAAAACCTATCCTAAAATTCACAGGGTATCTCAAGGAACCCCAAATAGCAAAACAATCTTTAAAAAAAGGATAAAGTTGCAGGATTCACACTTTCTGATTACAAAACTTACTACAGAGCTACAGTAATCAAAACAGTGTGGTGTTGGCGTAAGGACAGACACACGGACCAATAGAATAGAATAGAATGGAATAGAATACAATAGAGAGCTCAGAAATAGACCCTCACATATAGGGTCAAATGATTTTCAACAAGGGTGCCAAGACCATTCAACAGGGAAATGACAGTCCTTTCAACAAATGGTGCTAAGAAAACTAGATTCTCACGTACAAAAGAATAAAGGTAAACCCTTGCCTTACGCTGTACACAAAAATGAAATCAAAATGGATCAAAGACCTAAATTTAGGAGCAAAAACTATAAAACTCTTAGAAGAAAACATAGAAGAAAATCTTCACAACACTGGATTTGGCAGAAGCACAGGCAACAAAAGAAAAAAACAGATAAACTGGACTTCGAAGAATACTATCAGGAGACTGATAGGAAGACCCACAGAATGGGAGAAAATATTTGCAAATCACACATCTGATGAGTGACTAGTATCCAGAATATAAAAGAACTCCTATAATTCAACAACAAAAAAACAAACCTAAGTCAAAAACTGAAGAAAGACTTGAGTAGACATTTCTCCAACAATATACACAAATGGACGATAAGCACATGAAAAGATGCTCGACATCATTAGGCACTAGGGAAATGCAAATCAAAACCACAACGCGAGGCCAGGCGCGGTGGCTCA